GATCCTACCAGCCCCGACTACTGCAGATCTGGGAGTCTCCCAAAGCCTGGGATACTCCAAAGAACAGGACTCGTAGGCAGCCCCTAAACACCTCCAAACCAGTCCCTCCCTGCCATCAGCATCGTCTAATTGTTCATGAGTCTCAAAATCCTTTATAATTTTTTCTCCTTCCTGGAGCAACTAAAATTACTCTACTTAATGCCCTGTCTTGCTGAGATACCTTTGCTACGGGGCGGCGCGGGCAGGAAGGAGAGGTGTCCCATAAACTGGGTTCCCATCCCAACAATAGCCCCTTCTGCCCATGTTTGAGAGTGGAAATTGTTCTTCCCTCTAGTAACAGAGTGAGATACTCAGTGGTTTCACTTGCTCCTTTTTCCTTAAGTATGCATCCCTCAGGTCCTTTGACTAAACCATGTCCAAAATCATAAAGATATATTATTAGCCAGTATAAGATAGTGATTCTCAACAAGCTACAGCACTCTGCGGTGCCCTGAGACCCTTTCAAGTGTGCCATAGGGTGCCAGGCACTGTTAGCACTATTAGGCATGCAAACATGATTCATAAAATAAACCCTGAGATTTCAAATAAGAATTAATAGTGTTAAAACCATTCTGACCTGTTGTGCTCTGAGTTCTTTGCAACAATAGAACTGCTGTATTATTTTTCTATAGTCAAACGAGTGCAAATTTTTTCCAAAGGGTGACTTGAATCTAACAAGAGGTGTCGAGCCCAACAAGGGGTGCCTCAAGTGTAAAATGGTTGAGAACTATTAGAATAATCCAGCACTTCCCAAACTTGGACAGAGTGCACATCACCAATTTAAAATGATACAACCTTCAGTACCACCAGCAATTTTTTCTGTTCAACCTTACATAACACCAGCAAATTTGTCATATAAAGTAATTACAATAAATCTGTTAGCATGTACCACTGACAGGTTGTTTGCATACCACAGGTACCCATACCACAGGTTGGGAACCGCTGGCATAATCCATAAACTACAACATAATCCATACTGTGATATAAGTGACAGTTACAGCATAACATTGGCTATTCAGCAAGACCGTATACATACCCTATCAATAAAACAAACAAAAAAACCCTGAATGACACTTCACAAACATCCGAAATTATAGTGGGGTTCATGACACCAAGGTCCCCTCTATGCGTTACATTAATACCACAATTAACATGTTAATTTCTGGTTGGCTTGCATGGTGCCTTAAACTGAACATGTGGCCTGGCTGACAATCAGTCTGGTCCTGGAACTGCACTGGGGTCAGCCCCAACCCCAGATCCATGGGCACCCAGCTTGTAACCTGCCAGTTCAGGGGGAGCCCAGAACCTGGGTAGGAATTTCAGAAAGCAGACAACATAATTTAAATCTTTCCCAATTTAAAAATCAATGGTACAAAAATCCCTCTCCAAATTTGAGGAGCAACTTGGTGATACCCCTTCAGGGAACAAGTAGTATTTCTATGCAACAAGGGTCTTAAGTGGGATCTGGTTTGTAGAGATGCCCTGTGATCCTAAGTTCCTCCTACACTATAATTGTGCAAGTATGGCACAATTGGGATCTGATCCGCAATCCCAAAAAAATTACACTTCCTGCCATACATGTGCGACAAGGCAGGAAGAGTGATTGCTGGGAGTGGGGATCAGATAAGAACGTCTTCTAGGGGCCCAACAAGTTAATCCCTCTAAATATAGAACATAAGGTAATTTATCAAGGTTGGCAGTAATAAGAATATTATATGCAACTTTAGGGAAAAATAGAAGAAAGAATGAAGATTTGGCTCTTGCTGAGCAACCACAAGGCAGATTTTTTTTAATTTAAGGTAGAAATTTTAACTAGAGGTTGATTTCCAATGCTATTTTAAAAAAATAAATGTTTTTCCACTCTACAGATTTAATCATATTAGAAAGTGCCAAATGCAGCTGAAATGCCATAAAACCCACCTTTTTCATCTTCGGAATGTCTTACTATTGGTACATCTTGCCTAGCAATGGACACTGGCAATACTTTTCTAGCAGAAATGTTTTCAGAACTAGTGGCAGCAGAAACTGTGGCACTTGCGGTTGAAATATTAGACATACTGCTGGTCAGGACTCCATCAAAGTTCCTCTCATCTGTGTCAGAATCATCTGAATGAAGAGGATTAGTAAAACAGAGGGGTGCTCGAACTGGAAATGTACTGCTATGATCCTCAGGTGTATTACTGGAAGGGGGTTCCACTTGAGATGTGGTGTTTGGTGCTAGAGTTGCAGTTTTTATACCATGACACAAGACATCTGAAGAGACATCCTCGGACACAGATGCAGTCAGTGCATTTTCAGACCCATGTAGTGACCACAAATCATGTCCCTTCTCTTTGAGAGACAAACGATCTGGTCTTGGTGGAGTGTCAGAACCCTTCCGACTCTGCAGCTCTTCTGGAGAAGGTACTACAGCTGTGTTAGATTCCAGACAGGAGTTTTGAGAAACATCAACAAGTGAACCCCCTGAACTGTGCTCCTGTGGCTTAAAGGTCTTATCCATTACACAGGCTGTAACAGGCTTAATTTTAATTGCATGTCCTCTGTTTAAAAGAGTGTTCCCCTCAAAGCTTCGTGGTCCCTCCTGAAGAGGTACTTTCTTGATTTCAAAACTTAGGTTCCGCTCAAGCTTTTTCTCTGCACGTTCGTTAGGTTCATTCTTCCCTGAATGTTCAATTGATTTGTTATAGTTTTCATTGAGGTCTGTTGAATGTTCTGATGAAACCATGTGCAAAACTGGCTTTGGATGGTATCTATCATTGTCCTGCCACACAGTAGTGACTGTCGGATAGGCTGAAGGAGGAGATGGTGTTAAGATGGGTGGTACGGGCTGAGGCTCTGGCGGTTGCAAGATTTCTTCCTTAGCATCTCCTTCTACAAGGCAACTGCAAAAAAGTGAAGAGTCTGTAGTTGCACAAGAAAACACCTAATTACCCCCACTCCCTTCACAAAGATACTCAGAGACCAATATTAAACTCTAAGCAACATTTCTAATGCTTGCAGACAAAGTTATAAAATATGGATAACATAACACAGTGGTGCTCAACCTTTTCAGAGCCACAGCACCCCTCCACCACTTCTTTTTTGTGTGACAGTATCCCCAGCTGAGAACCACAGTAGGCACTGCCTCAGCTTATTTCAGTGCCTCTCAACCAGGTGTTACTGATTCCAAGTAAAACCACCCCATGCCTGCTGCACAGCCAACCTAGGAAGGGCTGTGGCACATGCACACTCTAGAGCACGAGCTGCCTCATGTTGTGCTCCTTATGCTTCTCCCAAAAACAGAAGCAAGCAGGTGGAACTGCAGCAGAAGTGTACACACAGCAGTTTTACTTGGCTGCTGTGTCCACAACCCTCAGGGGGTTCATGCCACCCTGGATGAGAAACACTGACATAGCAGGCTTGAACTAAGCCACAAACAGGCAAAGAAACAAGTGATGCATTTTACAAAATATGATATAACAGTAATACTATAAATATCCCTTAAGGACTAGAGCATGCAAACCTTAGCCCACATGCATATACTCAGGATTTCTCATTTTTGTTCCTACAGCTGATTTTTACAGAGTGGTTGGGCCCCCTTGTGGCAATACTGGAGAAATACTTTCTAAGAAAAAGCCGCTTCATAGTACGTGATTTACATACAAAACACAGCTTTCAGTAAGGCATTGAAAACCTACATTAAATAAAAGACAGCTGCAAAGGACAGATACACAATGTTTGATATTCAGCCCCTTCTAATCCCTCTCAGGGTCCAAGTTTGACTTTTTACAAACATTTAGATGCACGCTTTTTCTAAATAGTTTTAATGAGGATGGTTGTAGTTACAAAATTTCCATATAAGCCAGCAGTAACAACTACTATTATCCAATGACACAGCTGCAGTAAATTATGTCCAACATATAAAAACAGATTAGTAGATCATGTGTGGATCATGTTTAGAAAGAAATTATAACAGTCTTCTTTAGCAAGGAAAAGTGACAAGTATAGGGTCATAGATAAGTCAGGTTCATAGATAATTTAGTGGAGCAGGATCTGACAAATAGCTTACAATTTCTATTAAGGACTGTTAAAAGAAAATGAAGCTGTTGTTTCTGGGATAAAAACATGTATTTTTAGTCTTATGGTTTTATACTTGCCAAAAATAGTTCTCTAATAAGAAATTTACTGCCACATGGAATTAGACTAAAAGGTCATCTGCATGTTTAATCTAACTGAATGAATACTTGTTTAAAAAGTCTACAAACAAACAGGAAGTCCTTTTCATTCAGATGTAATAAAATATTTTTTTCTTTTCCCTATACCAGCATAAAATCCAGTGACTCTTGGGATATAAAACAAAAACGTTGGAAATATTCTTATACAGTAGCATAAGATTGGGGAATTATCTTTAAATCAAAAAACAAACATTTCTATAGTAGGATGCAGAATATAACATTCAAAATATAATGAACGAAAATATGTATAACATCAGTATAGTTAACGGAATTTGGGAAGACAGTGCTATTCACAGGTTGCAAAGATATTTTACAAAGACTAGAATCAGGCTCATGATCATATGAAACACCAACTACATAGTTTATACAATTAAGTTCTCTTGTACTGTAGCTTCATGAAAAGAATGGATAAAAACCCAGGAGGAACGAAGAGTCAGATGAAACTCAAAAGGAGTAGATAAGACTTTTTCCCTTTTTTTCCAAAGTACAGCAAGACACAAAAGAAAAGAAAACAAAACAGGGGTTCTACAAATATGTCAAGATTAAAAAGACCACCAAAGAAACCAAAGGTTCCTTATGGAATGCATAAGGCAGGTTTTAGAGAGATTATACAGGGAAGGCTTTTTTTTTTTTTTTAACTTGTCTTCACAAATAAGGGCAGCTATCAGATGAGAAGTGCAGTTGGCAGCAAAGACAGGGAAGGAGACAAAGCAGCCCAGAGTAATGACAGAGCAGGTAAGAGAAGCTAGATGCTTTTACATTGGCAGGGCCAGACAGGATGAACCCTAGGGTATTGAGACCTTGTAGAGGTTGAGCAAGATTCCAGATGATTAGGAAAAGGGCAAATATAGTGCCCATCTTTAGGAAAGGAAAGGAGGAGGATCTGGGGAATGACATACCAGTCAGCCTGACCTTAATATCTGGCAAGATCATGGAAGGTCCTCAAGGAATCTACTATGAGGCACCTGGCGAGAACAAGGTGATCACGAACAGCCAGCATGGATTCACCAAGAGCATGTCATGCCCAATGAACCTAATGTCCTTCTATAAGGGGACAGGCTCTGTGGATGGGGGTGCAGGGGAGCAGCAAATGTTATACAATCTCAACTTCTGTGAGGCTTTTGACATTGGTCTCCCACAATATTCTCATTATCAAGCTAAGGAAATACAGACTAGACCAAACTACTACAACCTCGACACACAACTGGTTGGATCATCATGCTCAACGGGTGACCATCAATGGCTCAATGCCTAGTTGGGAAGAAGTATCAAGTGGGGTTCCCCAGGAGTTTGGTACTGTTAAACATCTCAATTACTTATTTGGATGAAGGGATAAAGTGCGTGCTTAGCAAATTTGTTGATGATACCAAGTTGGGTGGAGTTGAAGACACACTGGAGGGCAAAATGACCTGGAGAGATTGGAAAAATAGTCTGCATCCAATCAGATGAGATTCAACAAGGACAAGTGCAAAGTTGTGCACTTACAGTGGACCATGAACTGAATGAGCCAACAGTGTACTCCTGCTGCAAAAAACCCCACAAAAAACAAAAACAAAAAAAAACAACCCCAACAGCAACAGCTTATTGCGTTTTATTAACAGGAGTGCCACTTGCCAATCCACCCTCTTTAGCACTGGTGAGACTTCAAGAAGGATGTGGACAGACTAGAAAGAGTCCAGCACAGAGCAGCAAAAATGATAAGAGGAAGCAAGACTTAGAAAGAAAGGTTGAAAGAACTAGGCTTATTTAGTCTGGAGATAGCCCTTGAAGACGACTGATGGGGGAGCTGATAAGTCTTCAGATACCTTAAGGGTAAATTACAGAGAGGATGGAGATGGGCTTTTATCTGTGACCACAGGGAACAGGACTAGGAGCACTGGCCTCAAGGTGCAACAGAGGAAATGCAGATTGGGGATTAGAAGGAACTTTCTGACTATAAGGGTGGCCAAGCATTGGAACAGGCTTCCTAAAGAAGTTGTTAAATATCCACCCTTAGGCGTTTTCAAAAGCAGGTTGGACAGACACTTGATTGGAATGGTTTAGTCAGAGACAATCCTACCTTGTGCAGGGGGCTGGATCATACGATTTTGTGAGGTCCCTTCCAGCCCTACTTTCCTATGATCTCACAATCCTATCTATATTATCAATATTTCATGCCAAAGTTCTACAGAGAACACGTGAGTAAGTTATGATGCCAGAACTGGAGTTTCAACAGACTTTGAAATATCTTATTTTGAAAAAAAATGAATGGAAACATCTGAAAATTGATTGGTGTGAGAATTGATCCTAAATTGGATTCACTATACATTAACTTTACTATATTATCCCTTATGTCTTGTTAAAAAGCAGTATATAGAATTTTTTTGTATAGTACAAGTTTAAAAGTAAAATTGCTGGTATAACTGAGGATTTATTGAGGCTAAATGTAGTCTCGCTGCAAGAATGGAATAAAGTTTGTATTTGTCATTCTACAACACAGGGGTTGGTAACCCAAGAGCTGGGTCAGCAATCTGCGAGGCTGAAGCTGAGGCTTCAGCAGAAACCAGGAGTCAAGGATGTCTGCGCCAGGGGCTTTGACTCCACCATGCCACAGCTGGGTGGCAGGCAGAAGCGGGTGCAATAGCTGGGTTCTAGTGCCAACCTGCCTCATATCCACGCTGAGCCATTCCAGCCTGCCACTGAGAAAGATTACCAAGCCCTGTCATATTATATGGCCTTATATTAACAATGATTAAAAGGAAATGCTTACAGAAGTCATTTCCTAGACCAGGAGTGGCCAACCTGTGGCACAGATGCCATAACTAAGTGGCACATGGCAGATTAGGGAGGGAGCAGGGAACACAGAAGCAAATAGGGCAAAAAGCAGAGTAGCAAATTGCCAGGAAGCAGAATACAGAAAAGGAGATGGGGCAGAGGAATGGAATTGGAGTGACATTTGGGGAGAGAGTGGGTCTTACCTTGTGGCATGCCTGCCAAAAGTTGGCTGCCACTGACCTATACAACATGTGTTCAGTTTTTGGAACGCAAACCAGGAATAAACTTAACACCTGCAGAATCTGTTAATGTGAATGAGAGTGTTCAATCTATCCCAAAAACAATTTTTCAATATCTTTTGAGGAAGATTTTTGCTCAACTATCCATGTAGGTGTTGAGTTTCAGAGACAGTTGCACCCTTTAAGGTTTTGTACACATTTGTGGAATGGTCATGTAATTAAAGAACTAGATTTTCAAATTATAATCTAAGATACTATTTCCTGCTCTGGATGGTGTGTCTACATCCCTGGATGATACAGAAAATATTTCTAAATACATTAGAAATACATTTTAAAAAGAAGTGAAAAAAATGAGCACAGAACAGATGCTTTGTAGCTCAGATGTGCTGCTTTCCAGAGGTTAGTAAAACCTAATCCACCCTCAATTTGTGTATGAATTAAGAGCAAAAGCCTGTGTTTTCAACGTGTTTCATAAAAATGTGCCACACTAGATTATGGCAGGCAGGTGGCAGTGGTGGGGAGACCCACACAATACTTCAACTTAACCATATTCTTCATGGAATATAAGTGAAATACAAAGTAAAGTTATTCTTTCATAAACATACACAGCTTTAACAACATGTGAGTTTAAAGTTAACTATTTAGATTATTTGTAACCATGGAACCACTGGAAAG